TTGGCCACTCTTTCAGTAAAGAAATTTTTCCAAATCCCCAATTTAAACCTTCCCTGGCACAACCTGAGGCCATTTCCTCTTGTCCTGTCACTGGTTACATGGCAGAAGAGACAAACACCCACCTCTCTACACCATCTTTTCAGGTAGTTGTAGAGAGCAGTGAGGTCTCTAATGAGACACCTTAATGAGATCGTCTACTTAGAAGGGGAAGCAGAATCCGTCATATCGTAATTGTACTTGAAGTGACGTTCTCATTATCCACTGTAAAACTGAGTAATAAATAAATTTTCCCTGATACCAAAAAGCATTGTTTTCTTACTTGGGTTTGGGATGCAAGGAAGAAGCTTTACAAACAAGCTTTGTGTTTTCAAACCAGAGCACATTTCCCCCTTTTTCACTGTCTGCTTTAGACATGACAGAGACGGCTTATAATGCCGCTATAGCTTAACGGATGGAGGGTGACATTTGTCCTGGCAGCATGCAGTCAACATTTGTGGTAAACATGATGCCTCAATCACATCTGACCATCAGAGATATTTAAAAACACAAACTCCAACCCTTATATTTGCATTTTTGTCTGTAGAACACGAGCTACTAAAACCTAAACAGCCAGGTATATCTGTTCCCAGACAAAACACAGCCCATGCAATCCAGTTTGGTCACAAGCCATAGCTGACTAACAAGCATCATGGAGCTGCTATCTCTCCAAGTATCAGCTCAACAAGTTGAATATGAGGGAGTCAAGAGAGAAAACCTCTAGCCTTACCCATGCTTCCTACTCTTGCAGTTGCTTTGGGAGAAGAAAAATCAAGAAAGGAATGAAAAACTGTTTGAAGAAGATGAAAAAAACTACCACTATATCCCTTATAACACCAGATCTACAGCAATATGCAGGAGCATCACAGCCTGTTGTGTCTCATCCTTGCACATCTGCAGCTGTCCTTTTGGAAATGGTGGTGACTGCTGCATCAGACTCCAAAGCCCTGGGCTGCTCAGCTCTAGCACTGCCCATGCTCAACCCAAGGCTCACTGACACAAGCACCAAACTGTCACATATGGACCCGTGACTGCTGAGCCACCTCCAGCACAGGCCAGCACAAGCATCCCACAGAAGAGGGCAGAGGCCTATGTGAGGCTGCAGAGGGGAAAGGATCAGCCCCACGACTCCACTAACAAACCAAAGCTCGACTGAAGACATTACAGTGCTACACTGATGCTCTGACCATCACAGGTTTGTTAGGAAAGTCAGTGAACAAATTAAAACCTTTTATTTCAGCAACAGCAACTACCACCAGCAAAGGCATGCTTCACATCTGGTAAGTAACTTCTTAACAGCAGGGAGTTCTGGCACATGAATAGAGAAAGACAGAAAAGTCAAAACTCTAATTAAATTTAGTAAAGCAAACAACGGAATGTACAATGTTTAAGAACTCTTTCTTCAAATATTGTAGTCCTTTAATACCAGCTCTTGAAAATACTGAATTGTTCAGCATTGTAACTACATTATGTGTTTTAGCAATACACTTTGCTTCTGAAATCCAAGGACACCGGGTGAACAAAACTTATGTGCAGAAGCTTGTTCTTTAATTTGAAAGTGAATTAATCCATTAATATTTAAAACATATTTTATACTAGAAAATAGTGTCTAGTCACAGAAAACTTATTAGTGATAAAATATTTTAGACATACATCAGTGTCATACATATTCTTCAGTTACACTAGAAACAACAATCAACATAAAAGTTGTCTTTAATTGAACTTACAAACTACTCAGCAGTCTTCTGCATCAAGTAAAAAGTCCTCTTTTGCATATTATTGTTTTAAGTGTCAGCACAGAAAAACTTCAGAACCTCTGCAAGCTGCACATTACTTTATCCTATAGCACACATAAGCAGCAGCATGGAAACAAGAATTGCAAGATAAAGGGTTTATACCTGTATGTAGAGTTTACAGATCCTGGAGAGCAACACAGATTAGTAAAACCTAACCTATCTAAAACTTGGAAAGCATTCCGTTATATTTGTTTTCAATCAGAAAGATCTGTGTAAGTTGTGTATGTGTCTTATCATGGAAAAATCTAGCCAGAACAAGTAGGAAGCTCAAGCCACTAATATAATACAAAGCATTAAACTGCTGCAGAAATTTAAAACTTACATTGCAGTACATATTTACAAGGCTGTTTTTCAGAGGTCATTGAACATTAAGTTTATTTCACAAACCAATCTGCCTTTACAGGTCTTAATTCTATAAACACTGCTATTCTTATCAACACACTGCCATACTAGAACACATGATATCAAGACAAACTTGATACTGTTTTTTCTGTTGAACTGTAATGAGGAGCACTGCTCACTTGATGACTTTGTTAGCTTCAGCAAATTAAGTATGATGTATCTGGTTAAAACATAGCCTTAAATCCTAAACCTAACATGTGGCTCAAGTAAGCTCCTAAGGAACAAATGTGATGATGCAGAGCTGTTATCTAGAAATAACCTAACAGTTTGTGAAGACTCAGCAAACAAGAAATAGAACAATTAACATCTTTCATGCTGTTAAATTTCGCTATGAATTATGTCATGTTGTTCAGCATCAAGTATTTCCCATGCTTCTGCAGCTTATGAAAACAAGAAGCCATGGGATTGTAAGAAAGGCCTACTTAATAAGTTTTACAGAGACTTTGTTATCAAGAACATCAGTAACTAGAAAATCTCTAAATCATGAGCATTATCAATTTCAATAACATCTTCAGGTTCCATCTTTGCTTCATTATGCCCCTCTTGCAGATCATCCAGGGAAGCCAGAGCCTCATTTGTATCGCTAGCAAAAGTCTCACGAGATGCATCATCATATTCTTGCAGGTTAAGCCCTTTAATGGCTTTTTTCATCTTCTTTCCTAGAACTTGTATTCTCCTCTTCTTAGCAGCCTTTTTATTTTCATACTCCTTTTGGTTTTCCAGATAGAATATTTCCTTGAAAGAAAACAAACAAATTCATTTTACGAGTATTTCCTAAAGAAAACATAAAGTAGTATTTTTTTTTAATTACAAATACTGTTCAATAATATTTAAGAAAGATATGCATTGTTGGTAGTAGAAGTATGAGGATTGACTGCACATAAAGAAAATGCCCCATAAATAATTTTATTACATAATTTCTCAGTGAACTCACAGAGTTTGTAAATAAGTGTCACTAAGTTTTCATTTCAAGTTTTCTGATGACACAAAACTGGGAGGAATGGGTGGCAGACCATAGGGCATGCTGCCATATAGAGGGATATGTTGAGAAAATACAAGAGAAGAGATGTAAAAGAGTTTGGTGGGGTTTTTTTTAAATAATGGCGTAAAGTGATAAAACTTGCAAATTTCTGTGACCACTGTAAGCTATGAAAGGATGTTTGTTCTAAAAAAAATCATAAACAGACAATCACAGTTTATGTTGATTTGTTTCTCAATTCCCAGTACAAGATGCTAGGATGGTTCAGAGAGTGAGCTGTAGCCACCTTAAAGCAAAATAAACAAGTCTTTCTTCTAACAAAAAACTTCAATAAAGTTTAATAAACTTTAAAAAAAGCCAAGTTGTGTTAACTGAATGAAGAAAATACTGTCTTGGTCTATTTCATACCCTAAAAGGGAAAGCAGTAATATTTACAAGCTGACAAAATGTATATGGTGAGCACCACAGATGACGCCAGTGAGCAATTCAGACTAAGTTCAGACCACTACCTGACCAAATGGGAAATAGTGCTTGATGCTACAGCTGGAGCTATATAGGACAAAAATATTCTATTAAGAGAACACCATTCAATCCATGCACAAATACACAGAGCTCCAAAGAGAGAAATACAGCTGCAGATAATTTGTATATACCTTACTGCAATGTTAAGGAAAACCCAATGTTTATCTCTTCAGACTCTACAGTCTCATCACCCTCAACAGGTTTTTGTGACTGGCATTACATAAAAGCTGTTCTCTCTGCCTAGTGAGAACTGCAGTTCATTTTTTTGAGAATTTTTTTTTCTTTTATTTGGAATGTGAAAAGCTGGTTTCTTTGGAATATAAACTTGCTAGAAGTTAGGAGAGCAATTCAATCATAAACTTTCTAGTAGAAAAAAACCTCAAAATTCAGTTTGGACAATCATCTGCACTCCTAACAATTTTACCTTGATTTGTTGTTCTTTGATGCTAGGTGTGTTCTTCAGCAGGTTTAAATAAACACCCCCTGGTGTTCTTCTCCTAGTGCCGTTCTTAAAAGGGAAAGTAAATTAGTAATCATAAGCTTAATACCCAAGTGCTGATATAAGAATAGACATAATAAACACAATAAAAATTACGTCTACAATAAATCACAATGATTTGTACTGAGACAGAATAAAAAAACATTAAGTTCTGCTTTGTTAGGTATTACATAAAAACAACCCTTTATTTGTGACTGAACCACTCACATGAAGGTCAACAACCAGCTTGCTTCATTTGGACAGATAAATGGTGATGTTACAAAAAACTTGCTTTAGAACATAATACCAAACTGCACAACTGCATACTAAATCTGATTTTGGTAGTGAAGAAACAAAATGTGAATTATATTCTAACTACTCTCACAGCTATATGCAATAATGTATGTACTACGTTAAATATTCAGAACGTACCCAACACATAAGCCCAGTAAAATGTCAAAAATAAATTTAATAAAATTATGTGGATCTCTTTTCCAAGTTGTAAGCATTAATTATCATACTATTATTCAATTACCATTCGTAGTACAAAAATTGAACTGTTACTAGAGCGCTCTGATACTGTACTACATATGATACTTTTCTCTTAAATAACAAAGTAAAACACAATCCAAAAGTTTTAAGAGTAAAGAAGGTCAATTTTTAAGTATGTTCTTGAAACAGCTGACACCACATACTTTTGTCATCCTACCAGCACAAAATCCCAACCAAGAAAAACAGTATGATCTGCCTTTCAAATGGTGTACCGTGATCTGCAGCTAAAGGAACCTGCACCACCAGTAGCTGTGTCCTTTCATCTCCTTGGTAAGCACTTGTTAACAGGTACTTTAATCTTTCAAGACAACTGACTGCTTCTAAGATAAGCTGCTAGCTAGAAAGTTACTGCATTTTGGGAGGAAAAGATGGTGGTGGTGTTTGTTTTGTTGGGTTTTATTCTTAATTATTTTTTCCCTCCTCTCTACCTCCAGTGACAGAACTTAAAAGATGCAAACTTCCCTCACACCTTTTTCTTCTGAACTTTTGTACTGAGGCTCATTATTTAATATCAATAAATTGATAACCTAATCATTAAGTATAGGATTTTTACCACAATTTGTAACAGAAATCAGGATTCAGTTTTGCTGTACTGATACACAAGCCAGTGGTTCTCTAATAAAGCTAGGAGATCCGCTTTGGAAAGTTATTCTTCAAATGTGACATTAGAAATGCTCACTGGCTTACAGTGGACAGGTCAGTGCTGACAAACATCCACCTGACTTACTGAAGCAGTGTGCCAGATGCTTCACCTGGATCCTGCAACTACAGGCTTTCATTCAAGCTTCAGAATGCTTCACTCTTTAGTTTGTCACAGAAAGATCCCAAGGGGAGGCAGACTAACAGATCGAATGTTATCACTGCAAATCAGATACTGATCTCAGTACAAAAAGTTGGGCAATTTTCAGGTTCGTTCATCTCATTGTTTACTCAAATCCTGCTGGAAGGGTTACATCAGTATTCATTAAGCAAGTTTCATGGGTAGGGAAGGCCTTGAAACTCTGGGAGAACCTGTCCAAAGTGAAAGCTGTGCAATAGTAATACCTAAATATTCTGCAAGTTGTGTGTCCTTCCCCACTCCAAACCCACATGATCACATTTTTCTTACCACTATGAACAGTCCACCATTTTGTTCCACTTCAGCTGTTTCCATAAGCAGTTCAATAGCTTTTCTTTTCCCAACTATTTTCACGACTCGAGCAATTAAATCTTTCTTGGGCTCACAAAGCCTTAAAGTAGGGGGAAAAAAAAGGCACATTTATTGTCAGTATAATTTCTTAAGTGAAATTAACCATGGAACTTCTATAATGAATGATTCATTCTGTAGGACATAAAAACTATGCTAAAATTAAAGAGCATAGAATCATAGAATACCAGGTTGGAAATGTGTTTCAATGGCTTCTTGAATCAGATTTCAAAATACTGAGCAGAGGGACAGTTTTTTTTTCCTGAAGTATGCATTTTAAAAATGTGTTTCATAAAAACTCATTGAGTCATTATTTTTCTTCTACTGATGTGTGAAATATGAAAACAAATAGGAAACTGCAAAGGCCTGTATAAATCTCTGAAATTAAAGTATAAGTCTGCTGTGTATTTAATGGTTGAAATTACAGTACCTTTTACAGTTAAATCAACAATTAACTGGAGACAACAGTAAGTGTAAAAGTTCCCCTGTATCATGTGCCATTCAGACAAACCTACATAATAAAAAACCTCAGTATGTTGACTAACTTATGATAATCCATTAAATGCAAACAAGAAAAAAAATCTGCAGTATTACTGAGTCAAATTGTAGTCTATTGTTAGCAACAATGTCCTCACACAGAAATTGTCACTGTCAGTCTGCATGAAGGAAGAGACTTACATAGCATCCAGTAATTAGACAGTATTACTAGATGCTTCTACAAGATACACACAAGGTACTCATGCTTTTTGTAATCTGGTACAATATCTTACATATCTAGCAGTAAAAAAGCTTCCTTGCCCCTCTCCCTCTTCCATCAATAGTTTACCAATGCTTAAGGAAGTGAAGATATACTGTAATTAATCTCACCGATAAGCGATTTCATCTGCCACTTTTTCTTCTGAATCTTCTTCTGTTATCTCATACCTTCCCTTATATTTCATTTCTTGTCTTTCACCCAGTCTGTCTTTTACAGGTCGCTTCCGTTTGAGAAAACCTTGCCCATTTTCTCTTTCTGCTGGCAATGTTTTCTTGTCATCATGCATGTATTCATCCAGTTCTTTATCTAAAGTCTCTGCCTCCTTTTGCTGAGCTTCCTTCATCAGCTTTTTAGCTAACAAATAATTGTAAGTCTCAGACTGTCTGCTTCTGTCAATACTACCATCCATGCCTAGAATCCCAAGTTCAGTAGCCACTGCATCCTGACTCTGCTCCTGGAGCACCACACCCCAAATGTTGTTGACCTTCTTGCCACCTAAAGCAGCTTGGTTTTCGTGGCTCTGGCTAAGCTGAAAAGGCTCAGATTTAGCAGAAGCAAAGTTGGAACATTTCTGTCGTTTTCGTTTCCACAGACAGCTGTCATCATCAGATTCAGAAAAGCTTTCATCGCTTGAATCCACGCTTTTGGTTGTCCGATAAGGAACACTTGGTGCACATGATGAAATACTGCTCTGGAATAGTCTGCCTGAATCACTTCCATCCTGTGATTTCTACAGTGAAAAAGGAAATGTCCATTAATTTAATTACTCCTGAAAATCAAGAGCTATCAAGTCAAGCAAAAGATCTGATTAGCTGGTAAACTTAATTCTGACAAATGTGACCGACTGGGCAGTCCTCTATGAGCATCTTTTGGACTACAGTTAACAGGAACATCCTATGACAACTTCTGTATTTGAATGCTTGTATAGGAAAGACAGCATGGCTGCTGTAGAAAACACACACCAGGAGCTGCTAATCTACTTACTGTAATCTGTGTTTAATGAAATTAAAATTACTACAAAACTGAAAAAACTATTAGAATTCCCAGAGACAGAGCAGTTCTAAGAAAGTTTTAAAAAGCCAAACCACTAAGGTAACATAGCAGAAGCTTTTTTTTTTTTAACAGCATAGAAATGAATATTCTCTCCAGAGTTTGAAAGGGGTCAAGACTAGTCATCTGCAATCACAACAGTGTTTCCAGAGACTCCAGTGAGAAGAAAAAAATGACCAAAAAACCCAAAACCAAACCCACAAAACTTGGATGCTTCTCAGACTTTGAAAAGCTAACAGCGTAATATTGTGATTTTGGTTCAATAAAGAGAGCACATGACCAGCTGGGGGCAGTGGTACCTCACAAAATAACTGGGTTTTTCTTCCTTTAAACCAACAATACACCACAGACTTATTACAGCTTCTTATCAGTTAGGACAAAAACCCTGAAGATTTCGACATACTTTACAAAAAAGTCCCACTGCTATAAAATATTTAATAAATGCTGTTTCCCTATACATCTGTCAGATAAGCCAAACCTGCTCAAGTCTGCATAACCTGCAAAAGCACCATGGGTAACATAACCCAGAACTTTTATTCCCAGTTGCTGGAAATTTTTGGCCACGCCATCCAGGCTAATCTGTGATAAGCACTTTCCTTACTCATAATTCCAGGTTTTCCTTAGCTGATTTCCTATCATAAAGTTATATGCTATCTCATGATCTTCAAAAAAAAGATCTCTTCCTTCAGTTTCAGGTGAAATAAAAAGTCTTTCATTAACTTTACTGCTTTCACCAACATTACACCACCATTTCTTCTTTCTCCTATTAGCAAACAGAGAACAGAAGACTTCAACTTATTTTATCACATTATGAAACAGAAACATTTGATTTTAAATGTATTCATAATGCAAAACATTATTCATAATATTCATCCATAATGCAAAAACTATCAACTCCATAAATTAAAAAGAAAATACCACATATGTTTTAATTTATTTTGTGCTACACACCCCAGAACGATATTGCAAATAAATCAGATTGGACAAGGCTTTGAGCAACCTGGTTTAGTGGGAGGTGTCCCTGTCCATGGCAGAGGCAGTGGACTAGATGATCTTTAAGGTACTTAAATCAGGTACGTGGGCTCTCCGGGAATTCAAAGGATTCACCCCATTCGTAACCCCCTGCACGGGGCGAGACGCCATCTACTAATTTATCTTATTTTGAAATCTTTTCCTGCTCACACACCACCACAAATTCCTCATTAACTTCGTAACACAACCCCCGTCGTTCATGAACATCTCTTCAGCAATTCACGAATGCAAAAGAGTTGTAAACCCAAGGAAAAGCAGTAATCGCCACTCATCACCTTCATGCGGTTTACAACAGCTTGTCTCTATTGTTCTTGAAGCGACCGACGGTACCGGTGAACACTCCACTTTTCTCACCAAACCCAGCACACAGCAACAACAAAAGCCTCCCTCGGCGGGAACGGGCACCAGAGGAACAAGCCGGTTCTCGGGCCCAGGGAAAGCAGCCACCCTTTGGAAAGGGTGCCCTGACCCAGCTCTCGGGTCTAACCGGGACGGACCCCCATTCCCACAAGTGCGGAGTGCCCTCCCCGGCTCGGCCGCTCCCGGTCGCCAGTGG